AAAAGTACATAGTTCGCCATCTTCTTCTTTGAACAGACACAACACTGTGCACTGTTACTGTACAGCGCCTATGAGGGCGTGTTCTACATTATGGGTCCACACCTAAAAGCTAATATTTGTTTGCTAGCATTCCGTAAGTTAACTGCACGGCATCCATACAGAGTTACGCTTGGGACGTCATGGCATGTTACTGTTTTGAGTCATCCCTGCCATGACAATATGACATACAAAACCCTTAAAGCTGTGAACAGCCCTTCGTCGCTTGCAGTCATGCTCCAACTAAATTTAGACACGCGACTGATACCTTGAGAAAAGAGATGCGTTTTCGCAATCGAACAGTGTTCGATAACAGGAGTTCCACCAGACAATAAATAAATTGTTTCATGTTCCTGGAACTGAGAGACATTGCCGTTGTGATCTGGAGTGATACATATTTATTAATATAGAAGCTTAACGATATAACCTGTGGCTTTTCCAATGCTTACAAGAAACACATTTTCATATCATTTACAATCTATGCATGTTATGAATAGGCAGTAAACGTTTGTCACGCATGCATGCGGTTTCGCTATGAAAGACGTGTACTTTTGTGAGTTGCGCCCTTAGACGAACAAATATCCGAGTTCCTATTTCAGTGTGGTTTTGGTTTAAACATATTTTTGTTTCAAAAGAAATCTGGATCGGTACACAAGCAAAACTTGCTTATGTAAATGCCTCTCCATGTAGTAACTTAGCAACAGCTGGTTATATATTAGATAGTGCTAAACTTAAACATACCAAATGCACAAATGAAATACATGAAGCCAATACATTGGAGCAAGTGGTGTCTGTGAAATAAGATAATGCAGTTTTCCATACTACATGCACAAAAATATCTTGCTTTTGAAATGAAATCGTGAACTGATTGAAGAATAGTCATGTTTGTAGAACTGTTGACTGAACTACTGCCATGTAATATCGTTTTTAAATCATACCCATGTGTGTAGAAATACATTATGTTTCTGATATTATCGTATTTTTGACAGGTATAGAAAAAGTGAATTGCATCTTCAAAGTGATATCCACAAGTGCAGTCTGATATGTCTGATACATGTCGTCTAAACTTTTCAGCGTTTACGTCACTGTAGCAGAGCCAAACGCGACAGTGGACAATTTGGCATGATCTATGACCGTATTTTAAGTCAAAATTATTAATAATTGTATCAAAACGATTGAACTTGTGGTTATCAACTGCTTCATGGGTTATGTTCATTAAGCGTACAAGAACCCTATGATCCTGGGTTCGAATCCCAGATTCGCCCCGATGATTCTTGGTTTGTCAGCACTATACTCATGTTCCCGTTTCATCAAACTGTTTACCGTCTAAGACATGCATCACTTCGGGCTAAGCTGGGCCTCGTCTCTAATATCACAATAAAGTTGACAATGCGCATAGGGAGCCGGGAACCAGCTTACACTTCGGGCTTCATTCAATCGCTTTTGCGCCGTGATATAATTGGAATATTGTTCAAAGGCATCACACATTATTCTACCATGAATTCATTCGTGACCAACTCGTGTTATTCCGGGACAAGCCGAATAGCGACTCGTGCCCAAATCATGGCCATTTTTAGTGACCGGGCTCCGTCTTAGCGCAAACGGGCATACCTAAAACAGTTATCAACTCGTTGCGTAATGGTTTACATTTATTTCCCCATATATTATATCATAATGTATTTCAGATTCAAATTAAAGCACATCGGGACGTGCGGAATTATACAGTATAATTGAACACATTTAACTGTGTCTTGGGTATATTTTTAGATGCAAGACATATGTAAAATCAAAAATTATTTCTGAGGGATTCTTAGAGGAAGAACATTCTGATTGGTTTGTCTTATTTTCGCACAAAACATTCACCGATAGGGGGACGAGTCTTCTTGCAGGTTACGGAAAGGGGCGAGTGGTGACGAATTACATGAATTTGGAAAATACTCGATTTTGATTGGTCAGTCAGAGGTATCAAATCACAATAAACCCTCTCTGAATGAAACATCCGATTTGACGGCCGCATCACCGCGGAAGCTGATATTTCGAATAGTAATTCTTTTCTTTCATTTTCGGTAGGCATATTTAAATAACTATATCTACAATTATAGGAAACAAATGCAAAGTTGTGGTTACTACAGTATTCAAAGCTTGTGTTGCAATATATCAAGTGCAAAAAAAACACAATAGGAATCTGCAGAGAGAATGTATTTGAAGGTTCGAGGAAAAACAGAGAGCTTGCTGTGTGGCGCTTTTCTATATACGACTGTGACGTCATATCTGTTGCGTCACAATGAGCGATATGGCGTCATAATGGTGACGTGCGATGTAGAAGGAAATCTTTGCAATACTTGCTTAGTTTTCAATAGGCTGCCCACCTCATGTTAGCCTACAAAGATGCTGTGCTACATGTTTCCAGTGCCTGTCATAAGTTTGTGTGAAGTATTACGGTCTTAACAAACTGCTTGAGCATATTGATCGCCATATTTTGTTTAAAGGCCGCTGTGCGGTGACTCCGTAAGTTGTGATCCCACTCAAGAAGCTGGACTCCACCTATGCGGCTTCACCTAACATATTTGCTAACACGAAGGAGTTCGCGTTTTATTTAGTCATGGTAGAATGGAGATAAACATACTGTGTTTAAAATGTAGGTTACCTGTAGATTTAACCGCGCTACATTTAACATATGCAAGTGCGTCGTTAAACAACAAACAAAGAAACATTTGAAACCTCACGCTGCGCGTTCGGTTCCAAATTCAATTTAGCGCTGTAAATCTACAAGTAACCTAGCTCTACCAGAACACAGTATGTGCGCGTGTATCTCCTAGATATCATATATGTAAGGATAAACTGAATGTACTTAAAGCGTGAGTTGCATGAGTTTATAGCAACTCAAACATGGCATGCAGAGATTACACATTCTTCTAAAGGTATCACATATCGCATATTTAAACTGAACTCGTCCTTGAAAAGTATTTATTAGTTATCCCTTTCTCTTTGGCCGTAAAATTCCTTGTTTAGAACCTCATGCCACCATTTACCTATTGAACGAGGTAGGTGGCCAAAATCCCCGTCAATGAACGAACGTGTAAACTCTGCGACATGGGCGATGTTGGTGATGAATTTCATTATATTTTTGTCTGTCCTTTTTTCAAACCCCAACGGAAAATATATGTTCCAATTTCATATGCTAAAACCCCAAATATGTTTAAATTCAAAGAACCTTTTAATTGTAAAAAAATAAATGTTATTAAGAAACTCTGCACATTCTGTAATGTCATTATGAGAACTGTAAAATCTTCCATGTAAACCATCCCGCCATCTAATGTATTTACTGTTTGCAAATTTGTACCTCATATGCCGAGGATCCCGGCTTGAGCGTAAATAAAGTGTCTTCTGTACTGTAACAAGAATATGGTTCCCAAATTCAAAGCAGGATCGTGACTTTGTACATTGAATGTCTGCAGGATTCAATAACGAATGTAGGTCAGGGTGCCGTTGTACAAAGCGATCTATGCGCTGAGGTGATCGCAGCCATACCTTAACATAGACTAACGGTGTGTTATGGGGTTTAACGTCGCGTCCAAGATTATTGCACTTATATAGCGACGTGCATGCACGTGTATGTGTGTGTGTGGCTGCTTGTACTAGTCCGGACTGATGCCGATTTATAGTGCTAGCACACTGAGATACCATGCCGCAGTTTAACATGAATACCCCACTCAGACACAGTATTCTGACTCCGAGCCGACCAGTCCTTGTTTTAGCCCCTTAATGCCGAGCGCCAGACAGGGTAACAACAAGTACCATCTTTTAACGTCTTTTGGTAAGACGCGGCTGGGGATCGAACCCTGGACCTTCCCCTCTCCGGGCGGACGCTCTACCATTAGACCACGGAGGCGGTCACATAGACTAACGACAGTCGTGGCGCTAAGACATAGTTTTGTACGACGGCGCCCAGGTGGTTTCAATAGTATATGCATGGCCTGGGTTAATGTGTCATCGGATCAAGATTATTGTTGGTTTAAACATATTTATTTTCACAAATGTGTGAAAATGGATTGGTAAACAAGCATAGCTCTTATGTAAATACCGCTCCATTACACATAAGACATATTACCATAAATACACCAATGAAGGTCAGGTGCAACAAATGAATCGTACATGCCAAACTAGATGTGTATATATAATAAATCTATTTGTTCATCGATCATTGTTCATCGACTACTTTCTGGGTTATATCACAGACACGCTGCCACAATAGAGCTGGAATTATGCTGGCCGTGGTTTAAACAAATATTCTCTCTGGTTTAACAGTTATTTGAGCTGGATTTCGGGAAACGGTGTTGCCCTTAATTACGACGATGCGTAAACAGTGATTGAGTGAGTTTGGTTTAACGCCGCTTTTAACAGTATTCCAGTTATATCGCGGCGTGTCAGCTTAATGTGGGAGGCCCGAAGTGATGCAGGTCTCAGACGTTTACCACTTCAGTGAAACCCACAAGCACGGTATGGTGCTGACAAACCTAGAAACATAATCGGGGCTGACCGGGATTCGAACCCACAATCATAGGTTTCTGGCGTGCCCAAGGGACGCAACTCTGCACAGCAAATCGCGGCGCCTTAGACGACTGGGCCTGCCGTGCACTACCCCCGGAGGGGACTCAACCCAAAATAAAGTACTGGAATTTGTACTTCACTAAGAACGTGTTTAATCACGTTCTAAAATGGCATTGTGTATTCCTACAAAGAACAAGTTCCCAAGACTATCTTATCCGGAACTGTTTAAGGAGAACATGTTCACGGACGCTATCGCCAGAACACAACATATCTTGCCACACCGGTTACACGGCTTTCTTTTAAAAACTCATTCATTTGGTAACATGTCTTGGGCTCGTGTCACATAGATGCAAACGAATGTTTAGTAATAATCTATTCGCGTACTACCAAAACCTGTTATTCATATCACTTGACATGCGGGTAGCTGGAACGCGCAGTCAAGGAATATTTTACCCCCAAGGAACCCTTTAGTCTTAAACCATCCATGCGTGCGGCGTTCACATTGAGGAAGGCTTCTGACAAATAGTGCACGGACTGTGTATACCTTGGAATGAATAAGTGATGATTCATGGTATAAGACCTGCGTTATTTTTGTTAGTTTCTATGGTGACGTCACACATGACCACACATGTGTACATGCATGAGACATGTAGATACGATGTAGTGTGTTGATGCTGGTGCTGATATCGTGCTATGAAGCAGGATGTATATTGTGTTACTCAGATGAGGTGAGGTGAAATGGGATTTTCTAGCTAGTTTGAATACATGACGCTTTGTTTATGGATAGCAGCTTCTTTTATATTTCTCATCTTTGCACATTAATCCTTTCCCATCGGCTTTGTCATCATATTGTTATCATTGTACATTGATCCTATGTCATTGGCTTTGTCATTATATTGTTATCATTGTACATTGATCCTATGTCATTGGCTTTGTCATTATATTGTTATCATTGTACATTGATCCTATGTCATTGGCTTTGTCATTATATTGTTATCATTGTACATTGATCCTATGTCATTGGCTTTGTCATCATATTGTTATCATTGTACATTGATCCTATGTCATCGGCTTTGTCATCATATTGTTATCATTGTACATTAATCCTATCTCATCGGCTTTGTCATCATATTGTTATCATTGTACATTGATCCTATGTCATCGGCTTTGTCATCATATTGTTATCATTGTACATTAATCCTATCTCATCGGCTTTGTCATCATATTGTTATCATTGTACATTAATCCTATCTCATCGGCTTTGTCATCATATTGTTATCATTGTACATTGATCCTATGTCATCGGCTTTGTCATCATATTGTTATCATTGTACATTAATCCTATCTCATTGGCTTTGTCATCATATTGTTATCATTGTACATTGATCCTATGTCGTTATATTATCTTTGTACATTCATCCCGCCTCGTGTTCTGTAAACATCACGATATATATAAAGTACTCATATATGTGCACTTACTTAGGATTCAACTGACGGAGGGGGAAGAAGTAGCTCTGAAACGTCGTACAAAGAATAGAAGTTGCTATCCATATGTCATGTGTCATGTATTCACGTTCTCACAAGATCTAAATGCCTATTAATAACATTGTAGCTGGTTATTCCACTAATATAGCGACGTGCGTGCGTGTGTGTGTGTGTGTGTGTTTGTTTGTACTAGTCCGCATGAATGCCGATTTTATAGTGCCAGCCCACTGAGATACCATTTAACTTTTAACAGTTTAACATGAATACCCCACTCAGACAAGGTATACTAACTCCGAGCCGACCAGTCCTTGTTTTAGCACTTTAATGCCCAACAGCAAACCATTCATTAACATATTTTGGTGTAACGCGGTCAGACGATCGAACCACCAACCTTCTGCTTTGGGCAGGGTGTGGGTGTAGGTGTGGGTGTGGGTGTGGGTGTGGGTGTGGCTGGGGCTGGGGCGGTTGTACTGCACAAACAAGGGCGGATCCAGCATGTTTAAAAGGGAGTGGTCAATAATATCAACATCCTCTATCAGTACATTTTACTGCCTGTGCCGACAACATACTACATTTTGTTCCCCCCCCCCCCCCCCCGGCCCCAAACACACACACGTACCCATCCCCCACACCTCCGTCTGGATCCGCCCATGACAGAGTAGGTACAGAAGACTGCAAGATTACAACGTAACTGGATGTAACCATTCACGTTGTAAGTGCATGCGGATATGGACGTGTTATCAACTATTTCATGTGTGTACTGCGGATGTCAACCGAAATAGAGAGTGAGTTGGGCTTAACGCCGCTCTGAACAGTATTCAGTTCAATCACGGCGTATCCACAGCTTGATACCGGAGTGACGAACACTGGACTTAATTTGGCAGACATGGCATTAGGACGAACCTGGGATTCGAACCAACAATCAGTGTCGTGGCACAAGCTCCACAGCGATAGCGCGAGTGTAAGGAAGGTATCACGCGCTGGGAAAGAGCTTGGTATTGGCACGGCTAAGGGGCGCAACTCTAGTGGTCTTACTCTTTAACTCACTGTACAGAGTTGTGTCCCTTAGCTGCCGCATGAATTCACTCACTACCCAACCCTCCAAGTCAGTGTTGTTGTTGTTGTTTAATGCACTCAGCAATATTCCAGCTATATGACTTCGGCCTGTAAATAACCGACTCTGGACCAGATAATCCAGTGGTTGACCATCCGAACCCGCTAGTCGCCTCTAACGACAAGCGTGGGTTGCTAAAAACCCAATCTGACCCTGATCTTCGCAGTAGTCTTGTGTATACTTCGTTTCTTAACATCAACAAAGATTGCGTTCTGAATGAAGTTCTTATATATGTTCTAAAAAAAGGCACTTGTTGATTTGCTGTGAATAAATGCATTATGATTCATACTGTTTCAGCAAGTATGAATTAATATAGATTAACCATAAACTGTTTATTTGTTTCAGATATAATAACTGCTAGCAATGGATAACGGTGGTACCACTGTTGGTGGTGTTAAGCTGGGTGAGTATGTACATGTTTATTGATGCGGGATGGTCTCTGCAAACCCTTGCATCTCAAACTGATAGGGCGGTCGGGTAGCCTAGTGGTTAAAGCGTTCGCTCGTCACGCCGAAGACCCGGGTTCGATTCCCGACATGGGTACAATGTGTGAAGCCCATTTCTGGTGTCACCCGCCTTAATATTGCTGGAATATTGCTAAAAGCGGCGTAAAACCATACTCACTCACTCAAACTGATAATTCGAGCATTAAAAGTGTTTCACAATGGTTAAACGTTTCATTAAGAACTATATTTTGAACATTGTAATATTGACCTTAATACGTATAATAAAGTCTGTATTTTCATTTTCTTCGAAAGAACGTATGAACGAATTCAAAAATAAAATCATTGTACTGCTATTTTTACTGATGAGTGAGGGATGTAGATGTTTGTTTCTTGTAACTCTCACATCTCATCTCTAGATACCACAGTTCTAACAAGACGTACTCAGTTATTTTAGTTCCATTTGAAGCAAGGTCGCAAATCACAAATTGAGTCCCTTTGTCACCTGCATGCTGAGAATTCACGCGAACATGTCTTAGGTACAACTGAAGCGGTTTGTGTGGCCGAGTGGTCATATGTTCTGACTCATTGTGTAAAGTTACGTCCCTTGGACATGCCAGAATCTGCTTGTTGAATCACAGTTTTCAATTCGGTCTATGAACACTGTATCAGTTCTCGTGGACTTTATCAACGCCTGTGTGATCGCGAGATTTCCTTAATCTGTCTTTGAGCCCACACTCTGTGAAATAGCGTCACAGTGTGTTAAACCTGACCACTCGTATAATTGTATCAGCTGATTAAAGAACGATTATGATGACAACAGCACCCAAACTTTTTCATCAGCAATTGTATGAACCGTTGTGGTATATACTACTCAAAATAAGTTAAGGACCACCCGATTCTTTCATATTATTATAGTTAATATTTCATGCCACGACATATTCTTTCCATGACCTCCCGATTCTTTCATATTAGTATAGTTAATGTGTAATGCCATGACAGATTAACAACAGTAATATGAAAGAATCGGATGGTCCTTTAGTTCTTTTGAGTAATATACATGCTGCGCCTTAACGTGTTCAATGTGTGAGTTAGCGCATAAGTTTCACTTCAGTCAGCAATATTTTTGATACGGCAGTCTTTTGTCAACTTAGTCGGGCTAGATTAAGTAGTGGCTTACCACGTGAGGTGCGATCCATGTCGTTTGGGTACGATGGGACCCATGAATCCAACTCTCATTTCATTTGACTCTCATCTTCCCGTGGCAATGGAGTTAACTGACTGTAAAAGTGCAGCTTCCAACCTTGCCGAACTACGCTGGAATTTCTGGGCTCGATCGTAGCGCCACCTGTGGCTATTACGAGTTATGTCCTTTCTATGTCCCTCCTATTAACCAATCAGATTCCATCTCTCATATCACCTCCATTTGCTTCAAACAAAATGGCGGCGCCCAGTCAAGACGATCTGATCGATAATCAAGATCTATATTGTAATAAAACGGGTCTTACTTCGCAAAGTGCATCATATCACTTGAGCACCTTGATTAAAAACATGAAAAGATTTGGAAAAATACCTGTTGACGCCGAATTGGCGGTACACATGCCTTGCAAATCCTGCAATCGACCGAAATCTTTACGACAGTTTACGAACCGGATGTTGATTTAGTTCCCCGGTTTTTACTGGATTTTGCATAGCCTCGTTAGTCCAGCCAAAATATTACTCCATAATTCCAGCCTAGTTCGGCAAGGGTGGAAACTGGACTTTTATAGTCGGTTAACTCTCTTGCCTCGGGAAGATGGGGATGAGTTAGTCTGTTTGGTTTAACGCCGTACAGTGTTTCAGTTATGTTAGGGGGTGTGGGATTGATGTGTGAGGACGTGGTGCAGGTCTCAGATGTTCACCACTTTGGTGAAGTCGCGGTAGGGTAGCCTAGTGGTTAAAGCGTTAGCTCGTCACACCGAAGACGGGGTTTCGATTCCCGACATGGGTACAATGTGTGAAGCCCATTTCTGGTGTCACCCGACGTGATGTTGCTGAAATATTGCTAAAAGCGGCGTAAAACCAAACTCACTCACTCACTTTGGTGAAAGTCATGAACACGGTGCTGAGAAACCTAGAAACATAATCCAGATAAATGTGGGAATCGAACCCACAATCATACGTTCCTGGCACGTTCCGCAGCTCCGCACAAAGAATTGCAGGACCTGAGACGACCGGGCCACCGCGCCCCACTAACATTGACGTCACCCAGAAGAGGGAGGTGTGCTCCTGCCCTGGATTCCTGGGCCCACTTGCACAAAGCGATCTTAACACTACAACTACTGTAAGCCTATGTTAAAGTATGGGAGTTACGATCATCTTAGCGCTAAGATCGCTTTGTGCAAGTGGGCCCTGGTATTTATTAAGCACTCCGGCAATATCTAATATCCTACGAGCTCTCATGATGCATCAACTATTCTTTCTATATCTTCCAGAGACAATCGTGTATATTGGTATCGCTGCCGATGTCGTGCTGGCTGTCGTGGTGGGGGTCCTCATCGTCTGGTGGAGGTAAGCTCTCCCTCGTGTTCGAACATAAAAGAACGAGATCAACCAGATATCAAACATACATGTTGGCGATGTTCGACAGATCCAGATTTTTTTTACGTACAGCCCTTGATGATCCGGGTTGGAATAGGTCTTTAGTAACCCATGCTTGCTGTAAAAGGTGACTATGCTTGTCGTAAAAGGCGACTAACGGGATCGGGTGGTCAGGCTCGCTGACTTGGTTGATACATGTCATCGATCCCAATTGCGTGGATCGATGCTCATGATGTCAAACACTGGATTGTCTGGTCCAGACATGATTAATTACAGACCGCCGTCATATAGCTGGAATATTGCTGCGTGCTCATTAGAAAGTAAACCAACAAATCTATATGAAGAGCTGCACTACAGACCTACAAAATGTATCTTGTCTCGAGGCCCTGATGTAAACTGCAGTCATCATCTGGTGGTACGACAAAATGTATTCATTTCTTTCTCTCCAAGAACCACAATATGATGTGGTATCTGTTATCGAAAAGTTAACATAGCTGCGGTCAGCGTAACCTCTTTCCATCTCTTTTTCTTGGGGTTGTCCGGTAAGAAAAATTTGCCCCGGGTTCTGTGGGACATACAGCGCATTTATTCATCTCCTGTATGCTTCAAATCACCACACCAATCGCTTCCTTTCTCACTTACCTCCAAATACACATACATGCACTTTATTTAATCAAAAGTGAAATTTCAATACGGTTTTTCAGATCGAAATCGAAAACCAATAGGGGTCTTAAAAAACAAGATGGCGACCTTCTCAAAACCACCAACGTTTTTTGTTTTTTTTACAAGGAATCCATACTCAATGTTCACTTTTTAAATGATCCGGTAAATTCCAATTGTATTGTGGTTTGTGATCACAGAATGCATCCTTCCTTTTCCAAAAAGCTGCATCAGCCCCTGGGAATTATTCTAATTATATAGAGGGGTGGTGGGGTAGTCTAGTGGTTAAAGCGTTGGCTCGTCACGCCGAAGACCCGGGTTCAATTCCCTACATGGGTACAATGTGTGAAGCCCATTCCTGGTATCCCCCGCCGTGATATTGCAGGAATACTGCTCAAAGCTGAGTTAAATAATAATCACTCACTCTAATTATATAGACACATGCGTAATATAGACAATCTTGTACTGCATCACAAACGTAATCCACGTGCATCCTCTGTCTTCAGGAACAATTCCAAGAAAAGACGGGACGCGAAGATACAGGCATATCGAGATGCTGCTGCGGACTCCAGATCGGATTTCGCCGACGACGGGTCAGTGACCCCACGACAGGTGGACAGACCCCCTGACCAGGTACAAGGCCATCAACAGCTAGCTGGGGAGCGAGTGGCCTCCCGGTCGGGTAAGTGGAACTGAACCGTTTGTTTCTATACGCCTTATCAATTGCTTGTGTAGCTGCACCTTCCTCCCAGGTCCATGGTCAGCAAGCTGATACATAGATTGAATGTCGCTTTGGCCAGTTGACCTTTTGCAGTGCTTCGGCTCAGGTCATATGTTTTTTTATACAATATATTGAATAGGGGTGACTATTGGTCTGGAAATCACTATTGCGATAACTATTGATATTGGAAGAAACTATTGCGATAACTATTGATATTGCAAGCAACTATTGCGATAAATATCGATAGTGTTCAGTGTATCGTTTTAGTTGGATTTTAGAGTTGAATTAAACCTTGGAACTGAAGTTTCCTTTGAATGTGATAACCATAACAACAAATAAAAAGTAAAGTTTGAGATATGACTGATTTGTTTTTTCTTTACCCTCATAATTTAAGAAAAATATACATTTGAACAGCATTGCATATATTTTATTGATAAGGTAAATATAATCGAAACTATCGATATTCCTAACTGAAATCGATACTATTGATCGGAAATTGATTTAACAATCGATTTATTGACTTTAAGTACTTACCAATAGCAATATATCGATATTTCGATTTATCGTGACACCTCTAATATTGAACAAATACTTGATTTTATTTCCACATTGGTTCAAGGAGAGTCCCTTATTCCTTCTGCTAAATCGGTTCATAATAGTTGATCAAATATCACAAATAATCAAACATTTTAAATCGATGATAAGTTGATGAGATGATTGTACCAAATTTCACTCAGAGTTACAAGTGAGTCCCTTGTAGGCAGATAAGCTCCATCACCCGCCAAATGGGTCAATCTCTGGATTTCACCTTCCAAAAATGTAGTTTATATTATCATTCAACATATTGTGGAGGCTTGACATGCCCTGGGCGGTCGGGTAGCCTAGTGGTTAAAGCGTTCGCTCGTCACGTCGAAGACCCAGGTTCGATTCCAGACATGGGTACAATGTGTGAAGCCCATTTGTGGTGTCCCCCGCCGTGATATTGCTGGAATATTGTTAAAGCGGCGTAAAACCATACTCACACACACACTTGACATGCCCACCCGAGCCTTGGTCCTGTTGATTGCTACGGATGTTGTAGGGGAATGACTGAGGTAGCTTTGATATATTGTACTACTTCTTTGACTGACAATGTAGCAGTTGGGTACCGCGCTAGTGTCTGCACTATAAGGTCACAGCTGTGTAAGGGGCGGTCGGGTAGCCTTGTGGTTAAAGCGTTCGCTCGTCACGCCGAAGACCCGGGTTCGATTCCCGATATGGGTACAATGTGTGAAGCTCATTTCTTGTGTCCCCCGCCGTGATATTGCTGGAATATTGCTAAAAGCGTCGTAAAACCATACTCACTCACTCAAAGCTGTGTAAACCAAAAAACCGTCTTCTACACAAGTTGCTTGTCACTGATATAAAATAATTACTGTGTTCTGAATTCATAGCCATTTTTCACTTCAAATATTTTGTTGTATGTAAAAAATACTGAATAGAATATATTATTGTCACAACGTCAACAGAAAGTCAAAAGTTTATTATGTAAATAAAAATTAAATACGACAAAGTTAGTCTTTACAGAGTCTTTTTCTTACAGATATATTTATTTAAAAGCAAAAATATTGTACCGAGTCCTATTTAGTTTTTTTACAAAATGGACAATGAACCACATGCTCTGACAAATGGGGGTTGAAGACTATAGCGTATTGTTACTCAATATTTTACTTGGTAACTTTGTTTGTTGTTTAACGCCGCATTGAGCAATATTCCAGCTATATGACGACGGTCTGTTATTATTCGAGTCAGAACCAGATCACCCAGTGATTGACATCATGAGCATTGGATACGATGACATGCAATCAACCAAGGCACCTTGCCTGACTACCAAATCCACTTCGTAGCCTCTTTCTACAAGCATTGGTTGCTGGGGACCTCGATTCCTAACCTGAATCCACACAGGTCTATACGGGGGGCACGTGTGGCCAGTCGTCTAAGGCGCCGCGATTCGCTGTGCAGAGTTGCGTCCCTAGGGCACGCCAGAAACCTATGATTGTGGGTTCGAATCCCGGTTCGCCCCGATTATGTTTCTAGGTTTGTCAGCACCATACCCGTGCTCGTGGGTTTCACCGAGGTGGTAAACGTCTGAGACCTGCATCACTTCGAGCTTCCCTCCCAAATTAAGCTGACACGCCGTGATATAACTGGAATACTGTTAAAATCGGCGTTAAACCCAACTCACTCACTCACTCACGCACAGGCCTAAACAATAACTCAACAAGTTGATTCGATTTTGGTAAATTCATTTGTTGGAACTTTAAGAACGCCACCGACAGAGCCAAAAGGCTGGAACACCTAACTTAGCATGTGACCTAAATACTTCTTAATGGAAATCTGCAGTTTTGGTGAGTATGATTGTACGCCGCTTTTTGCAATATTCCAGCAATATCACGGTGGGGGGCACCAGAAATGGGCTTCCCACATTGTACCCATGTGGGAATCGAACCCGCTTCTTCAGTGACGAGATAATGATTTAACCAAAAGGCTACCCCACTGCCCCTCATCACAGTTTTATAATTAACACTTTGCCTAAGGCTTTATTGTGTGATCTGTGATACTACATTTAGCACGATAATGTAAGCCTCGTTTTTGGAATAATCATGACTTCCTTTAATACAATATTACGTGTGAATGTGTATGAGAATTGTATGAACACTTTAAGCTATGAGCAAGAGGGACTGTGTAAGCTAAGACAATTTGGGACAGTTTCCTTGCATTGGATGGAAAAAGTGAGTGAGTGAGTTGGGTTTAACGTCGCCTTAAACAGTATTCCGGTTACATCACGGCGTGTCAGCTTAATGTGGGAAGAAAGGCCGAAGTAATGCAGGTCTCAGACGTTTACCACTTCAGTGTAACCCACGAGCACGGGTATGGTGCTGACAAACCTAGAAACATAATCGGGGCGAACCGGGATTCGAACCCACAATCATAGGTTTCTGGCGTACCCAAGGGACGCAACTCTGTACAGCGAATCGCGGCGCCTTAGACGACTGGGCCACCCATGCCCCCAGATGGAAAACACTTTAACAAGGAATAAACATAGCGTGAAAGAAGCGGTCGTTGACTTCCTTTAATACAATATTATGTGTTGATGCGTATGAAAATTGTATGAAAACTTTAATTTATGAGCAAGAGGGACTGTGTAACTCATTTATGAGCTAAAACAACCAGAAGATCTAACGAGGTCTCTCAATGTATTTGTCCCTGCTGGAAAATTTCAATTTAATATTCGTCAATGAACCATTGCATGACAATTGCATCCCTTGTCTTGTCACCGTGATGATCCGGTGTAGAACAGGTCTTCGGCAACCCATGCTTGCCGTTACAGGCGACTATGCTTGTCGTAAGAGGCGACTAACGGGATCGGGTGGTTAGGCTCGCTGACTTGGTTGATGCATGTCATCGTATTCCAGTTGCGTTGATCGTTGTTCATGATGTCAGTCCAGACTGGTCCAGACTCGATTATTTACAGACCGCCGTCATTTACCTATAATTTTGCAAAAACAAACAAACAAATATCAAATACTGTGCTAACCATATTTCGTTCAGTCTTCAACAAAGTACTAGTATATGATTTGGATATTCTGAATATTCTCCAAAAACTATTGTGGGGTGATAATTTTATAGTTCATCGAGACATGCGAATCGGGAACACCGAACGTGGCCTTTATCAAAACGGGGCTATGGCGTGGTCGATGCATTGTGTACGCTCCAGTGAAGGTAAGTACAATAAATAGTAGTTCTTCTAGGACTAGGTCTAGGTTTAGGACCAAGAATAGGATTAGGACTCTAGACTTAGTCGTTTGCCTTATGTACACGTCACTACAGTACCACTTTTAGGTCTCACGAAATAGTTTTCTTAATGGCATTAAAGTTGGACCGTTGTATGTCAGATTTAAGGAATATCCAAACTATGTGATTCCACATTAAACAACGCATGTCATACTTATGATTAATGGCAAAGAGAGCTTGTTCATCTTGGATGTGCATAATTATGCCTTATCGACTCGTGCTTTATATTGGTTAACTAAAATGATATAAAATGTTTTATACCCTGGACACATTATTGATTGTTATATATTATACCTTATATTGGTCGTGTGTCGATGCTTAAATATGAACAGTATCTTGTGATACGTCGTTGAACTTTTCGTTCACATAAAAAATTCGCATATTTTTATACTTCGCAGGAAAATGCTTATTTCTTGGTTTTCCCGTGCTTCTCGTCTAATAGAGAGTTGGTCTAGCTACAGAAATATATACTTTAGTCAGTCGTTTGGCACTAAGCGTTGTTGAGCCATGGAAGCGAGGTGCTGATAGTTCCATTTGGGACGAACTCTTTGGCGTGATCGTGAGAGGTGGGAGATGTGGGGGTGTTAGTTTGGGCGTTGGGTCCGGTGCGTGAGGCGTGTGTTTGGTGTGGGTGTGGATGGCGTTGTTGGTGTTGGTGCGGGTGTGTGTGGATGTGGATGTGGGTGTGGGTGTGGATGGGGTTGTTGGTGTGGGTGTGGATGTGGGTGTGGTTGTGGGTTTAGGTGTGGATGGGGTTGTTGGTGTAGGTGTGGGTGTGGCTGTAGGTGTGGGTGTGGGTGTGGGTTTGGGTGTGGATGGGGTTGTTGGTGTAGGTGTGGATGTGGGTGTGGTTGTGGGTTTGGGTGTGGATGGGGTTGTTGGTGTAGGTGTGGATGTGGGTGTGGTTGTGGGTTTGGGTGTGGATGGGGTTGTTGGTGTAGGAGTGGGTGTGGCTGTAGGTGTGGGTGCGGGTGTGGGTTTGGGTGTGGATGGGGTTGTTGGTGTAGGTGTGGGTGTGGCTGTTGGTGTTGGTGTGGATGTGGGTGTGGATCTGGATGTTGGTGTGGGTGTGGGTTTGGATGTGGATGTGGATGAGGGTGTGGGTTTTGGTGTGGATGGGGTTGTTGGTGTAGGTGTGGGTGTTGGTGTTGGTGTGGGTGGGTGTGGATCTGGATGTGGGTGCGGGTGTGGGTTTGGGTGTGGATGGGGTTGTTGGTGTAGGTGTGGGTGTGGCTGTTGGTGTTGGTGTGGGTGGGTGTGGATCTGGATGTTGGTGTGGGTTTGGGTGTGGATGTGGATGTGGGTGTGGGTGTGGGTGTGGGTGTGGGTTTTGGTGTGGATGGGGTTGTTGGTGTAGGTGTGGGTGTTGGTGTTGGTGTGGGTGGGTGTGGATCTGGATGTGGGTGTGGGTTTGGGTGTGGATGTGGATGTGGGTGTAGGTGTGGGTTTTGGATGTGGATTGGGTTGTTGGTGTAGTTGTGGCTGTTGGTGTTGGTGTGGGTGGGTGTGGGTCTGGATGTTGGTGTGGGTGTGGGTGTGGGTGTGGGTGTGGGTTTTGGTGTGAATGTGGGTGTGGGTTTGGGTGTGGATGTGGGTGTGGGTGTTGGTTTGGGTGTGGATGTGGGTGTGGGTGTTGGTTTTGGTGTGGATGGGGTTGTTGGTGTGGGTGTACGTGCGGGTGAGGGTGTGGGTGGGTGTGGATGTGGGTGCGGGTGTGGCTGCGGATGTGGGTGTACGTGCGGGTGTGGGTTTGGGTGTGGGTGGATGTGGGTTTGGGTGTCGATGGGGTTGTTGGTGTTGGTTTGGCTGTTGGTGCGGGTGAGGGTGTGGGGGAGGATGTTGGTGTGGGTGCGGGTGTGGGTGTGGGTGTGGGTGAGGGTGCGGGTGTGGGTGTGGGTGAGGGTGAGGGTGAGGGTGTGGGTGAGGTAGGGTGTGGGTGCGTGTGGGTGTATGATCATATATAAAGACCAGGGAAAAACTGCGACAACAGGGAAGAAAATATGCATTCCTTACATATATAAAACAGCATATAGAGAGATAGATTCAGCACGACAGTTAGTCATTCCCAACACGCCTGGCATTCTAAAATTATCCCGATCAACCGATGAGCGTATATTCAAAATTCATTCTCTACTCTCTTAGGATTGTACAACCATTGTTGATTGTCAGGGTACCCGAACCGTTACACATTACTGAAATATATTTGTAATATATGCACTTTGATTAATGTTAAGATATAACCAATGTCAAAGTCTTCTCTTGCGTGAACGTTACGTGCACTTAATCTTTTGTAACAACCCATGATTTAGTTATTTTGTTACTAATCATAGCAGTCAGACATGTATGCTAATTATACATTTGTCATTAGTGAGGCGTGCTTATAGATTGTGTTCTAATATAGCTTACACTCCTTAGATGACTTGTTGCAGTTGTGTACATAAACGATAAATTCTGGCTTTAGAAAGAGCACAGAGGTCCATTCTCAAAATGGCACAGGGACTTCCACGTCATACTAGGTCTGACATAGTTAATGCTCTTCTCGGCTGGCTCCCCATAGAATCATTTATCAGCATCAGGAAACTATTCTTTCTTGGCCACCTCTGTAATTGTTCTAATCATCTGCTTTCTAAGAAGGTTTTTATGACTCGTATCTTCATGTATATGCATAAGTGTCCATCCACAAGTATGGGCTTTGTCCCAGACATATGTCGCATCCTCCACAAGTACTCACTGTTCTGTCACCTGGAGGCATTTCTTAGTTCCGGGACATTCCTGGAACGGAAGATATGGAAAAGAACAGTCAAGGAAGCCGTGAATACTTTTGAAGTACGAGCATGGCGGGAAAGACTTTCATCAGACCCTGACACTTTGCACTTTAAGAGAATTCATCCGGATGTGATCACACACGTGGCGTGGAGGATAGCTAGAGAGTATCCTGAGCTAAAGGCAGCTGCCTGTCCACATGTGTGCGATGTGGAGACCGGGGAAATTACATGGTACCTGTACACATTGTGGTATTAACTACCACGACTTACTGACTCACGTACTGTGCCACTGTGTGAGTAGGGGAACAATAAGAGAGAACTTATGGTGTGACATTGGGTGTATAGGTACAGTTGACATCAGCGTTGAACTCCACAGCAAATCAGACTATGATCTTGTAGCTTGTTCGCTGTCCTGTAAGCCACCTTTGGATACTGATTCAGATACCAGTCGCTCTTACTCACGAAGTGTAATTCGAGGACTCTACCGCTTTCAATATAATACGGAGTTTACTAAGAAAATCCGTTACCACATTGGTATATGGTGGTATTCTCTGACAATGTAATTATTTTCATGTAATTATCTTTAATATTATACCTTGTAACACTCCTATGGAGGAATAAAAGTATATATATATATAATCCGTTATTAGGTAGAAAACCTGAAATGTTTACAACACCTGATTCAGTAGACAGTATACATAAAATCCGAAAGTTTGCCTAATATTTTAGACATAATAACTCAATTTAAATAAGTAAGAATATAATATTCAACAATCAGGTATTATACATATCATATTCGACGTCATAAGCGCCAAGGGCGCTCTCAAAATTAGAAATGGGGGCCCTTATTAGAATGTTATTTTGTGGGAGAAAAAAAACAGAGTTGAAAGATAAATTTCCTGGTTTATGCTGACAGCCTGAAATGTTTATGTACGATAGATATGTTTTTCCAGAATTTAATTGCCCATAATTAAGAGTGCATATAACACACGAGTGCGTATAATACGCGAATAAATAAGTCTTGTGTACATTAATCAATCGGAACCGGTGCTAATTGGGATTGTTCACTGGGGTCTTTTAAGTGCCCGACGAAAGAAAGAGTGAGTGAGTGAGTGAATATTGCTTTACGCCGCATCAGCAGCCTTGCAGCCATTCACTGTGACCCGACGAAGGAGGGCAGTTGCCCAGATGTGGAGCTGCTGCAAATGACAATGGCCCGAAAGAAAACCCTTTAGTTTGATTAAAACTGAAACCGAAAGAATTAACCTTTCCTTAATCATTTCTCAATAATAACAAAAGAAAAACAAACTACTATGTACGGTAATCAGTCGTATCACAGGTAGCGAGACGTCATTCGCCCTTGGTCTTCAATTCCGCCATAAATGGGAGAAGGCAATTTTAGGAGCTATTGGAACATCCATTTTCAGAGGTGTTTTTTATTATTTAATAGTGCAGTGAATAATTCTGGTACCAAGAGGGTTAAGACCTCTCAAAACCGTGGAAGGTTGAGGACTGTTGCACTTTATCGATTCAGTCTACCCTCCATCTGCAATCTAGGGAGTATTTACTTCTCTAAATCAAAGACGCTTTTTTCTAAATCTTTGCACTGGACTGTTCCACCTTACATCATGAATGAGGGGTCTTATGTGAAGGTGGTGGTAAAATGGGGTTCAAGTACCATCATTTACCGTCTTTTGGTATGACGCGGCCTGGAATCGAACCCCCGACCTTCCGCTCTCCGGGAAGACGCTCTTCAAGACCACAAAGGCGGCCCCGTTGTATGAACCCAGTCGACTTGGCCGTGTTGATACAGTCTGACGCCATGCTTGTTTACATCACTTTGCAAATTACCTATGCCGACATATGACAATGCGATTGATTGGACAGTTGTTCAGCAAAACCAGGAAATTTTCAAATAAGTTGTCTGCCCTTTACCTGATACCTTGTGGGCCGTTTAATAATAATTCTATCCATTTCAGGTATAACGGTGGATTTCCGATATCTCCAACAGAGTATGCCTAATAGTGTTACACACATGCATTTCATCATGTTGTAGGTCACGTTAAGTCTTGTTGTTTGATCACTGTTTTTAACTGTGATTTATTAACTTTTGATGCATTAAGTTAAACATGTATCTACCTAGCGTAGACACACCCTTCCTTTCAATTCATTAAACTCTTGGAACAATTAATGACTATTCATTGGTAATGCATTGTAGATCTGATCTGGGCAGAGAGTGTTTGACACTCATATCAGATGAGAAAAACAAACTATTCGGCATTTTCAATCTAAAAAAGATGAAATAATTAATAATTTGTGACTTAATGACTAATGAGTATTTATTTATTATATCAGGAGTGAGTGAGTGAGTATGGTTTTACGTCGATTTTAGCAATGTTCCACTAATATCACAGCGGGGGACACTAGAAATGGACTTCACACATTGTACCCATGTCGGGAATCGAATCCGAATCTTCGGCGTGACGAGCGAACGCTTTAACCACTAGGCTACCCGACCACCCCTATTCTATCAGGATCTTTGAAATTATATTCACCAAAAACGGAAGTTAACAAACTGTTTTTATGTTTGCAGTTCGCACAGAATTCACAGAGGTGGAGGAAGACTTTGGGTTTCTGAATGATAATCAATCCGGAAAAAGTCAGCAGAGTGGTCATGTGGTGTCCGGACCTCCACCCCACGTGGTCGGCGCTGCAGATACCCGTGTGTCCTTTCATGAGGCCATTAACTCAGAAAACCAGGAAGATGGAGCATATACCGTGGAGAATGACGAGAGGGTGGTCCACAACCCACTGTCAGCGTCCCGTAAGGCTGCAAACGCTTTCGAGGAGGAAGCCACAGAGGAACATGAAGTAGCGAAGTCGGTTTACTACACCTACAACGACCCACCGACACTCGAAACACCACAAGACGACCTCGTGGAGGGTGATGAAGCAGGTGCCCCTTCATCCCTGGACTATCTTGAACCTCTTCAAACCTCAGCAGCTTATGAGGAAGAGGAGGAAGGGGGCCGGGAATCGGTAGCATCAGAGGAAGAGTATTCCCCACCATCACCGCCCCCTCCACCTCCACCTCCACTTTCGCAAGAGGATGAGACGGTATTTATAAATGAGGAGTTGCGGACGACGACTAACCACTACTACTCTTCTCTTGATAGCCAGGGCAAGGATGTTGGAACCGAAGGTGAAGAGGTTCGGATCCACGATATGGCAGAGTGGTCCAAGATGAACTTTGGAAATGAGGAGCCTGAGAAACGTTATATCATTCAGCTGGAGGACAGTACTGATGTCATGTGAGATGCTGACATACTGCACGTCATGGTCGATTGTAGTAACATACATGTATAATATACTCCATTCCACAGTCACCTGTGAATGCTTACGGTCCCTTTGCAGTGTAATAGGGATGCTTGCCTATTTGAATAATCAATGAAATGAGTGTAATAGCATAGACGTAGTCAAATTAGCTCAGTAGTATAGGTGATGGGGGTACTGGTTCAGCTGAGACAGTACCCCCATCGCCTATACTACTAGCTCTGTTCCGCGCATGAAGTTTGAATGAACCCTACTGTTTCGTCACTATGTCACATGTTGCATAAGTTGTAATCTGAGCGCTCATTGGTCAGGGGTTTGGTTTGGTGGCTAAATTTAGCGACTACCCAGAGAAGACATACAGACAGATATTTTATTTACGTCTCACTGTGTGTACAGGCATACATAAATACATTGATAAAACATTTTAAAATATACACACACATTTCCTTTTGGAATTATGAGAGACTAAATCTAAAATATATACAACATAATTAATCTGAAAATAAAAAGGTATAAAATACAATAGCTAAAAATAGATGCACCCATTACTATGTGCTATATAAAAGACGACGCCTGCGTTCGAGTATTGCATAAGTGGTTTTGGCAACAATATTTACTAAGTCAATAGAGGAGAACAAATAACATAGTTTATCAACATCACTAAAATCATAATAACTTTCATTCATCTCATATGCAGTACATTCCATGGCATGTCTCAGATCATCATATACAGGACATTTCAGTATAACGTGGGTCTCATCTTCTGTCTCATTACAACAAGCGGCTGTATATTTTCACAGGTGATGGAGAAAGGTCGTGTATACACACCCATGAATGAATATAACGATGACTGCGCATATGTTTGTCGGTACACACATGGTGTGTGTTCTCGCAGGAAGGTTGTATTGCCAAACAACATTTGTCAAAGAGGGCTGATTATGTCTCAACAAAGGAGTACTTTACTGTACGGATTTCAAAACTCAACAGATTTTTTGTCTCGTAAAACTTTGCCATCAACATTAGTGCTTCCTTTGAACATGAACGTCTCGTCGAGTCAACAAAGACTTTATTGCTTTAGTATTACATGGAATGTGTATGAAAGCAATAATATAAGTTGTAGCTTCTAACGGAGACAATAAGGTTTAATATTCCCTGTGTGTTGTTGTGTACCCTGAGCGAATGTCTTTCGTTGAGGTTGAGATACAAAGCCTTTGTTGCCCGAGTGACATTTAATCTCAACACTCCGTACGTCTCAAGTCAATGTTAACATACATTACGCAACGCCGTTTCACTGTAAGGAGCTTGGTATGTCTGTTGCAATGACAGAAGGATTTTGTTTTCATTTGTACTCCGCTATAGCTGGGGGACATTGAAATATTTACCGCCATTGACCAATAAATTCAAGTATTTCACATATATGGTGAAATAAAGATGCCAACATACTGGCAATAGAACATATGACGATTTCAGAGTTATTTCAAGTTTGTTATATCTGTGGTTGACTGTATAAGTCGATAGTAAGTTTTGTTTCTTAATTTGATTAGCAGCTATCAGAGTTAAGCTTTATGGAATAATATATACAATAATCAGAAGGATCGTGGTGAGGCCTTGCGAGGTCGTGGTGAGAATACTTTTGATTAGATTATAGAGCTTCTATGTCAAGTATTATATGATTTGTTAATGGATAACCATGTTTACTGTATATTTGTATATATCCATTTAAAGGACCTAACGTTGACCTTATTGTCAATCGTTAATAGAACGCAATTAACAGGTATGTTGTTAACAAATCATAGTGTACGATCATTCTTGTTCTTATATGAACATCAGCATTGTTTTGTTTTTAAAATTAGCTGTAAGAAATTGGATTTTGTATGCTTTGAAATCAAATATGGATCGATAGTTTAGTCTGGATATAACTGGAATACTGTTAAAAGCAGTGTGAAACTTAACTCACTCACTCATTAGCCAGTGGAGGGCTGTCAGGTAGCCTCGTGGTTAAAGCGTTCGCTCGTCATGCTGATGGCACGGGTTTGATTCCCGACATGGGTACAATGTGGGAAGCCCATTTCTGGTATCCCCCGCCGTGATATTGCTGAAATATTGCTAAAAGCGGCGTAAAACTCACTCACTCATTAGCCATTCGACCATTTGATATTATGTTGGATCTGGGGTATATATTAAATGGTCACCCCCTTAATAGTTGTTCAACCTAGAGAAAGGAGCTATGTGTAGTGTGTAGGTACAACGTTCCCCTTGCTGAATCTAAAAGAATATTTTTTGTACTTTTTATATTGAGAATAAAAATGTTCTATGCTTCATTTTTTTCGTTTTTCAAGATTGGGTCATTGTAAAATGTGTAAATGTATTTTTAATGACAGGAGAGAGTCATTTGTTTTTATTTTCAACCAGACAGAACAGACAAATAGTGCAGACACAACATACACAGAGCAGACAAACAGTGCAGGCACAACAGACACAGAACAGACAAACAGTGCAGACACAACAGACACAGAACAGACAAACAGTGCAGACACAACAGACACAGACAAGACAAACAGTGCAGACACAACAGACACAGAACAGACAAACAGTGCAGACACAACAGACACAGAGCAGACAAACAGTGCAGACACAACAGACACAGAACAGACAAACAGTGCAGACACAACAGACACAGAGCAGACAAACAGTGCAGACACAACAGACACAGAACAGACAAACAGTGCAGACACAACAGACACAGAACAGACAAACAGTGCAGACACAACATACACAGAACAGACAAACAGTGCAGACACAACAGACAAAGACAAGACAAAGAGTGCAGACACAACAGACACAGAACAGACAAACAGTGCAGACACAACAGACACAGAGCAGACAAACAGTGCAGACACAACAGACACAGAACAGACAAACAGTGCAGACACAACAGACACAGAGCAGACAAACAGTGCAGACACAACAGACACAGAACAGACAAACAGTGCAGACACAACAGACACAGACAAGACAAACAGGCGGACAGTGATATGCGCATTATAACAGTACATACTTAATACAAACAAGCAGTACAGGCGGACAGTGATGTACTCTACATACAACACACACACACACACACACACACACACACTAGAAACAGTACAAATAGTTCATACACACAGTACTGATAGTACAGAAACAATACAAGCAAGCAGAAGAGATTGTACAAACACAATATGACAGGGTTGATTTTCTGTTTGAGAATAATATTTTTCCGGCTAACGGCTGCAATTTGTATACCACGACACACATTATTTTGTTCTCGCAGTTGGAACTGATTTGATTAAGTACCAGAATTGAGTTTCCATCCTACCACAAATAAAGCACCGTCATTAGTTCCAGAAAATCGAAATGCCCTTGAAAAGACACATGTTCTCTTTGCTTAATGAACATTGGCAAGTACACCTGTCTCATTATTGGAACTGTTTAGATCGGAATGTTACTAATTGTAATTCGTACATTATCATGGCATATAACTCTTGTTTGTCAGACGGTGGGACGCATGTATGTACTTGTGTTACCTCTAAGTACATCGGCGGAGGATGTGTGTCTGTTAGAAGACCCCCCCCCCCCCCCCCCCCCCCCACACACACACACACACACACACACTCTGCGGTTAGTTAGTGTTGATAGTAATTGATCAATTAGATATGTTTAGTATGCTTAGGAAGTCAATATCTTCCCCTGATGTGTTAGATAATTATCTCTTTTGGCTTATTGATGTTATGTTTAGAAAATATATTGTTGTTCTTTCTACATCTGGTAAATAATTTCTGATGTTTTAAGTAACCTTACATTTTCCACAAGAATGCATTTTTCACTAGGGTGCAATTGCTACCAGGATGCATATATCGTTTGTGATAGAAACAGACATATTCTCATATAAATAATGTGTATAATTAAATACGGACTGCTAGCCAAACCTTTACAACCGGCATTAGTCCGGACTAGTACAACACACACACACACACACACACACACACACACACACACACACACACACACATGTACGTGCATGCTCGTCGTAATATAACTGTGATAATCGTGGCGTTAAACCCCATTTCACCTCACGTCACCAATGTAAATTACCCGTACACACGACTAATTGGCAATGGCAGTGGGTGCAATTGTATTGAAACCCAAAATAATGTACTGATGATTGAACAGCTCAACACGAAAAATGTGGACAGGCATCTGCGACGTCGGTACATCACTATCCACAACTGACAAATCGTCAGTATTAATTTAACATTTTACCAATCAATGAAAAAAAATCGACCCATGTCTGTATAGAAGAAAGCATTTGTACGAAACACATTTAATACCAAGTACAGTCGACTGAACCACACGGCACTGCTTTGAAGAACCAGTTGAACCTGATCAATGTTATGACCTTTGCGGGTGCCTGTGCCAACCCGGGTCCAATTTCTTAAAGACGTGTGATCATAAGCTGTATAATTATCGTAAATGTGTGTTAAACGTTGCGTCAAATGCAGTAAAATCTTTTGCTGAAACGGCCTCCGTTTTTCACACCATTTTCTGGTCTAAACAACTGTCAACATGTTGCATTTAAAGTCCCTGGAATGAGGTACTGAATTACATGATCTATCCATGATCTATCCTTAGAGAAAGGCTTCTTTGTACCTTTAATAGGAACAATAGACTCTGGTTTCTCCCGGCTGTCTGACCCTGCCCGTACCAATTCATCAGCTGTCATGCGTCGATGTGCTGGACGCCCAAAGTCTGGGCTTTAGGCGATCTTTGTAAAGTTGTACCGTGCAAGACAGACAACACTAAGTCATTGTTTTCACGGGCCTTTTCATTTATAGATGTATAAATAAACATTCGTAAAAGCAACGCTATGATGTAAGCTTGAGATTTTGTTGCAAGGAAACGAAAATCTCAGAATCACAACAAATGGTTTATCAATACTTTGTCAACATTAACGATGCGACTCCGCGAATATGCCAACATTTCGTAAGTTATATTTTGGGGGGTTCTTGCTTGTTCTCTAAATACTCCGCACCCTGCTTAAAACCATGTCAGCGAGCCTGACCACTTGACCACTTGACCACCTGATCCCATTAGTCGCCTCTTACGACAAGCACGGGTTGAAGGCCTATTCAACCCGGAGTCATGTGTTCATAACGCCCGGCTTGCGCACGCCTCAAGGCGGAAAACCAGTCAGTAAACTTTAACCCAGTCTAACGTCACTATTCAAAAGAATTGAAAAAAAAAATACAGCCCATCTTTGATGCTCAAGCCCAGTAAGACTTCAATAAAGCATATCAATTACTCGTCTTCTCCAACTGATATGTGCGTGGTTTGACATTCAGGACTATTTTCCTTTTTCGGACCATTCACTTCCGCCTGTCGGAAGGCGTAGGCCAGGGGGTTTCCCAGCTAGTTGCTGGCTGTCAAAAACATTGCCACGTGACTGCATACAGGGCTGAGTGGTGTCGGTCCCGGATGTATGACGTCACCTTGTCGATGAAGTGAGGAGCATAAGACAAGAGGAAGTAGCCTCAGAGGAGGGCGTTCAGTTTGGCGACTTTGAAATGAGCTGCTAGATGATTGATGCGATGGTCATCTGTCTCAGCAGCGATATAATTTCTGTGTGAAAGGGCTTCCCTAAAACATACATGCATTTCCAGTTTCTTAATACTCTTATACATGTATTGATCACCAGAAAATAATATTATTCGTGATGATATGGACAAAAGGGCTTTACGGTTCTAACTGTTATATTGCTGAAATTATGCTAAAAGTGGCGTAAAACATCCTTATTTACTTGTCCAGACTGATGCAGTTTTTATGCGTTTGGGAAAAGCCACCTCAAATTGTACCTTCTTTTAAACTAATGGATAACGATAAAATATAGTAGACATAACAACATGTTTATGCAGAGATTTCCTTTTGGATATGGGAAGGGTTTTGTCGCTCTATTTAAGAAAACAATTTTGCTGGGCAGAATTTGAATTTCAAATGGATCATTCCCTTTATGTCAGGCAATATTCCAGCAGCTCCCGCCTTTGGTGTCTACATTTCACAACCTTAAAGGAACGAGCAAAGAAGATTTCAAAGTGCGTCACAACACTCTTGCTCAAAAGGTGTTTGCTCCATGTTACAAGGTAAAGCTTTCAAAACGTTTTAATGACCGCCTCCGTGGTCTAGTGGTAGAGCGTCCGCCCGGAGAGCGGAAGGTCCGGGGTTCGATCCCCGACCGCTTCATACCAAAAGACGTTAAAAGATTGTACTTGTTGTTACCCTGTCTGGCGCTCGACATTAAGGGGCTAAAACAAGGACTGGTCGCCTCGGAGTCAGTATACTGTGTCTGAGTGGGGTATTCATGTTAAACTGCGGCATGGTATCTCAGTGAGCTAGCACTATAAATCGGCATCAGTCCGGACTAGTACAAGCAGCCACACAAACACACACACGTACATGCACGTCGCTGTATAAGTGCAATAATCTTGGACGCGACGTTAAACCCCATTTCACCTCACCTCACCTTCAAAACGTTTTGTGGTAGACATGTGGAGAACATGTGAACATTTGATGTATCAGTGACACAAAATTAATTATATCCGATGCAATTCCCCATTTTAACGTGTGCCATACGTTCCCGTGGTTATGCAGGTGAACACTTGACTTGCCTTTAAATGTGTGCCCCGGTGGTGCAGGATACCCTAAACATTTCGCGAACAATTGGTATCATCACTATTTGAAAGTGATTCATAAACACATGCTCATGAATTGTAAATCGCATGTAGCAGATATTTCTTATGAATATGGAAAGTGTTTATGTAAACTGTAAGTTCTTTTATTCTAAATGAGGTGAGGTGAAATTGGGTTTAACGTCGCGTCCAAGATTATTGCACTTATATTGTGACGTGCATGCACGTGTGTGTGTGGCTGCTTGTACTAGTCCGGACTGATGCCGATTTATAGTGCTAGCCCACTGAGATATCATGCCGCAGTTTAACATGAATACCCCACTCAGACACAGTATACTGACTCCGAGCCGACCAGTCCTTGTTTTAGCCCCTTAATGTCGAGCGCCAGACAGGGTAACAACAAGTACAATCTTTTAACGTCTTTTGGTATGACGCGGCCGGGGACGCTCTACCACTAGACCACGGAGGCGGTCTTATTCTAAATGAACGGGCAACGTGAACGGCAATTCGTTACATTTCCTTCACAACAATAAATGCAATGGCAAAGTAGAGATAATATATGGATAACAACTTCTGTATCTACTGTATGTAAAGGCGAC